ATCAAAAAGAATAAGAGCAATCAATGCTGGTGTGGATGCGGGGAGAAAAGGATCTCTTCTTTTTTGATGGAAATGCCAATTGGTCCAGCCTTTTTGGAAAACGTTATGGGTATTCCTCAAAAAGATAGAAATTAAGCCTCCATATAACCCAACAATACGACCCTGGGGGCCCCAAAACACAACAGAAATGCTATCTGCACCTCTCTGCTCATTGCAGCACTAGTCACAATAGCCAGAATCTGAAAACAATCTGAGTGCCCAAGAACAGATGACTGGTTAAAGAAACTATGGTATAAGGGGGCATAGTGCCACCCAGCAGGTCAACCTGTACCTGCGAGGGTGATGTGCATCAGCAGCCTGGTGGTGCCTTCAGGCTTCCTGATAACCCCAAACTGCCTCTGTGCCTCTGGCCAAATCCCAACAACTTGGGACCAAGTTTCCTGAGAAATTAAATGGCCAAAAGTTAGGTATGTGGGAGTCACACTCACAAACCACCTCCAACTCAGTTATATAAGCTCATTTATCGGCCTTGCTTCAGAGACCCATGAATAAACTTTGAAAGAGATCAAAATCAGGCTACTTAAATGCATTAACAACCAAGATTTAGAGGTTCACAAATAAATCTCAAGGGAGAATAGCACACCACAGAGATGTCTCCCCAACCCTTGCCAGGATGATTTCACAGGGGCACCTCGGAGGGCGTCAGGTATGTCCCCAAATGAACCCCAGCAGCAGCAAATCTCCAGAACCCAATCTCTGCCATGTTCATGGCTGACCTTCACATGCTCGTCCAGAGCCTCCCATGTATGAGAATGAACCCACTAAAAAAGCCGGAAAACTCAAGGTTTCACAGAGTCATGGATGGGCGACCTTCACCCATCTTTCCGAGCTTCCTGTTCTCTGGCAGTCACGCCCAAGAATTGCCTCTGGACCCCATTTAAGTGCATTAATGGCTGTGATTCAGATACCCACAAATGAATCTCAGAAAGAGCAGAACGCCACAGAGATACCTCCGGACCCCAAATATTTAAAAATTTAGAATTCTAGCAGGGTGTAGCCGTGACACCTCATTCTATTCATGGCAAGCAATACAAAATAAATTATTTAGCATCTGCCTAAGGGGCAGGCTGGGGTAATGGTGGGAAGATTCAAAGTAATACTAGTGGGAAGGTGCAATGGTGGTGGGGATTGGTTTTGAAATATTGCAGGTGAACAATTATTGTGAACAACAATATGAAAATAAAATTTAAAAATTTAAAAAAATTTTTAAAAAGTAATGCAGAGTTCATACCTGCTTCAATCAGCTTATCAGTAACTGCTTAAAAAACAGCAGTACGCCTACATTTAAGAAAAAAAGGAAACTATGGTACATCTACATAAGAAACTATGCAGCTATTAGGAAAAAATGAAGTTATGAAATTTGCTTATAAGTGGATGGACATGGAGAATATCATGATGAGTAAAATGAGTCAGAAGGAGAGGGATAGACATAGGATGATTGGATTCATTTGTGGGATATAAAAAAATACATGCAAGCTGTTTTCTATCACTTACACCCTTTGATATATTATTTATCTAGTATAAATAATACTAGATAAATAATATATCATATTATCTAGTATCTAGAGATTCATTTATATACCACAAATGAATCCCTAAAATACCTGGACACAGGGAAACAACATTTTCCCTCTTGTGGGTATTGTTTTTAAAATTAAAAAGTCATTTTTCTTCGTTCTACTCAAAGTGAGTATTTTCTTTGTGGAAGATAATTTTCAAAAAGAGTTGCCATTAATTCTTTCCTTCCCCATTTGTATATGTCATTCCTCTTGAACCTAGGCCTATGCCTTTCTCTCACTATCTGAAGTAAGCTTGAATGCTGAGTTCCTCAACCTTTGATTAACCTTGTCCCCCTTTGGACCTTGTTTCCTTCCCATGGTCCCCTGTCCTACTAGTTGATCTTCAATTATTGTGCCATCTAAGCAATTTTCACCTGTGACCCCTTTTGAAATCTCCTGGGGCACTCAGTGGCCACAGGTTGAAAAATACTAGACTTGTCCTTCAAATAAGTGTCACATGGTACCAGAGAGAGAGAGAGAGAGAGAGAGAGAGAGAGACAGAGACAGAGACAGAGACAGAGACAGAGAGAGGGAGAGACAGAGAGAAAAAAAGTGTCATAGAGGCAGACTGGGGGGGTAGGGGAAGGAAACGGGAGAGTGGCAGAGGCAACTCTGGTGAAGGGACAGGTGTTGGAACACTGTATGACTGAAACCCAGTCATGAACAACTTTGAATCTGTGTATCTCATGGTGATTCATTTAAAAGCATTACACTGTAGCAATGTCCTCCCATTGTTCATCCATTTGTTCAAGCTGGCACCAGCAATGTATCCATTAATAGACTTGTTGTCACTGTTTTTGGCACATCAAATACAACACAAGCTTGTCAGGCTCTGCCATGCAGGCGGGATACTCTCAGTAGCTTGCCAAACTCTCCAAGAGGGATGAAGGAATCAAACTCGGGTTGGCCGCATGCAAGGCAAATGCCCTACCAACTGTGCTATCACTCCAAAACAGTAATAAATTATAAAACAGACAAAAAAATTAAATGTCATATTCTTCCTTTTTTTTGAGGGGCAGGGGAAGGCACACCCAGTGGTGCTCAGGCATTACCCTTGTCCTTGCTTTCAGAGATCACCCCTGGCAGGCTCTGGGACTGTACAGGGTGCCAGTGATCGAACCCAGGTTGGCCATGTATAAGGGAAGCACATTACTGGCTGTACTATCACCCCAGCCCTAGATAAGTGTCATATTCTACTTTAGCCTTATAATTCAGTCATCAGCTACAACACTTGACCAGCCTGTGACCACATGCTAGGAGGAAGATCACAGTAGGAAAATAAAAATACAATTTCCCATTAGCCTCTGTTTGTCCCTCAACCCAGCTGAGGTGGAAGACAAAGAAGAAGTCATTTTGAGCACTTGGCTTCCACAGAAACCACATAGAAGAGCATCTTTCTGCTGAGTCCTATGCACCCTTCAGAGTTCCAAGAAATAATAAAGGACTATTTCATCCCTAAGTTTGAGGATTTTTTGGTCTCATGGCAATCAATAACTGAGATACCTTCCATTTTTTAAATAATAATCTCTGTTTGGCTGAAAAAGGTCCTCTAGAATCATTGTAGTCAAACTCTGACAGGCTTCTCCAGGTTCTTCTGTCACTTGCTCACTTACTCAACCCTGTCTGAAGGCTCCTCTGCATCTCCAACTTCAAATAAACCAACTTTTCACTTTACTTTAACTTTCTGCTCTTAGAGGTCCAGCACAGGAAGGACTTAATTGACCTCTGAATTCTAAAATTAATCTTGAGGTCAAGTTCATTGGAAATTTTGTGATTCCTTGTATTGTTATTTGTGCTTTTAGTGTTCCCAGATGCAATGTACTCCCTTTAGTTCAGGGACTGCAGATACACCTGTATGTGTTTCAGCATCTCCCAGACAACCTGGAAGAGAACAGGCTGTGTTTGCGGGCGATTGTGCCACTTTTTTTATTAAAAATTTTTTTAATAGTGAGACATCATGAAGTACAGTTGCAGACTTACACATTTTTGTGCTTGGGTTTCAATTACACAATGATCAAAGACCCATCCCTCCACCAGTGCCCATTTTCCACCACCACGGGTCCCAGTATCCCTCCCACCCCCCGTTCCCCCCATCCCAGCCTGCCTCTGTGGCAGGGCATTCCCCTCTGTTCTCTCTCTCCTTTTGGGTGTTGTGGTTTGCAAAAGAAACATTGAGTGGCAATCATGTTTGATCTATGGTCTACTTTCAGCATGCTTCTCCAACCTGGAAGTATCCTCCCAATACCCTTATTTGGTGTTCCCCTCTTTATCTGAGCTCCCTTTTCCCCTAGTATGTGTGGTTGGCCTCCAAGTCATGAAGTAAAATTCCTGGTACCAATCTCGGCCATTCTTGGGTGTTAGTTTCCTATTTTGTTACTTTATGTTCCCCAGATGAATGCAATCTTTCTATGTCTATCCCTTTCTTTCTGAGTCATTTCGCTTAACATGATACTTTCCATGTAGTACCACTTGTATGTAAATTTCATGACTTCGTCTTTTCTAACAGCTACATAGTACTCCATTGTGTAAATGTACCAAAGTTTCTTTAACCAGTCATCTGTTCTCAGGGATTGTGCCACTTTTGTAGTCTTTGTAGCATTATGGTGGTGATTCTCTGGCTCCTCATTCATTTTCAGATGCTCTTTTTTATACTCGAGCGGGCCCAGTAACGTCTCCATTGGAGACTTTGTTTGGCATATCGAATACTCTCGGTAGCTTGCCGGGCTCTCCGAGAGGAGCAGAGGAATCGAACTCGGGTCGGCCATGTTGGCCGCTTGTAAGGCCAACGCCCTACCGCTGGGCTGGAGCGATAGCACAGCGGGTAGGGCGTTCGCCTTACAAGCGGCCAACATGGCCGACCCGAGTTCGATTCCTCCGCCCCTCTCGGAGAGCCCGGCAAGCTACCGAGAGTATTCGATATGCCAGACACAGTAACAACAAAGTCTCCAATGGAGATGTTACTGGGCCCGCTCGAGCAAATCAACGATCAACGGGAGGGCCTTTACCTTTACCTTTACCTTTTTTATACTGAATTGATATTGGAAAACTCACAACTTTTCTGATTGTGAACAATTAGTGAAAAATTTTAGTAAGAATGGAAAAACAAAATTTACTTAGTGCATTTTTGGTGCCTAAACAAGAAACCAGTTTTTATTTTCTTTCTTTTCTTGTCAGAAAATGTATGCATAGTGAATAATTTCCTAGTCATTTAAACTAAGTGTAACATAATCATGGTAGGCAATGAAAACATGTAAGCAAAATTTCAGGGGCATAAAAATTCTGAGAGGCGACCAATAAAAGATTCTCAGGACCGTTTTATAAGAAGTAAAGAACTGATAGTTGATGTACAAAGAGTTTTTTATGCATGCTGAGAACCCTTACCTGACTCCTAATCTTCGTGCTGTCCGAGGGAGTCAAATATTTATGTTCTAGATACCAGGCTCTCTCCTGGAACACCAGCTTGGTTCCATATAACAGGCAAAACTAAGGAATGAGGAGGGAAAACAAAAAATCATTATAAAATTCAGGGGAAAAAAAGGTGAGAGAAAAATAGCTTAATAATACTTTTCATAAAATTACAAAAGTTAATACTTCCTTAATGTAAAATGTTCATATTTTGAGTATGTACCACATGTTCTTTGAGTATATACCACATGTTCCAGCTGGAGCGATAGCACAGCGGTAGGGCGTTAGCCTTACAAGCGGCCAACATGGCCGACCCGAGTTCGATTCCTCCGCCCCTCTAGAAGAGCCCGGCAAGCTACGGAGAGTATTCGATATGCCAAACACAGTAACAACAAAGTCTCCAATGGAGACGTTACTGGGCCCGCTCGAGCAAATCGACGATCAACGGGAGGGCCTTTACCTTTACCTTACCTTTACCACATGTTCTATTTTTTTGGAAATCATTTTATGGTTATTGGGAAATAACTCAAATGACTGAGCACATTCATAGTCAATTTTTTTCATCTGTAACCTCACCTAGTTCTCTTTCATATATATTTGGAAGCAAAGTCTACACACATTATAGATTTTTAAGCAGGAGAACAGTACTTGTTTGTTGTCCTTCTTAATGTATAAAATGATATTTTTTAAATGCACATTATGAATAATAACATCTGGGTATTTTCTATTCAATTGAATTTCATAAATATGGCAATTCTGCTTTATATTTTCTTTAATATGTAAATTAGAAACATATTGTTATTCAATAAAATTACTCCTATTATATTTCTGAAATCACACACAAACCTCCTTCTTTACATCAGTTGTCATAAGAAATTCATTTTATGCAATAAGAAATGAGTGAACAGGTATGGCTCCCAAAATACAATGACAAAAATGGAAATGAGTTGGCCTGTATAAAGATGTAACTTTAAAATTATTTTTTCATTAAGTTTTAAATATTACTCTAAAATTATATAAAAGCAGAGGGACTAGTCCAAAGCACTTCCATTTCTCCTTCACCCAACTTCAAAAGCTACCAACTCATGGCCAACCTTGTTTTAGTTCTATACCTCTTCATCCCTCCTTTCCATATTATTGTGAAGCAAAGTTCAATCATTTTAGTTCACCCATAAGCATCTCTCTGTGTATCTCTAAAACATAATGACTTCTTAGAAATCAGACTGTCTCAAAGTCAAGTCCAGCAATAACAAGACCTTCTTGTAAAGAGAGTCAAATGGAGATGACCTTCACATTCGAAGACAATATATCTTTTATTGATCATCAGACTCCGAAATCACGCTATTTACAGTCATTTAGACAACACAGACTTTTCAACTTCTTTGCCTGAGGTTCTTAAATGCTCTTGAAATAGCTTCATTATGAAGTGCCTCAATAATTCAGCCTTCCCAGAAAGAGTCACGGTATGGTTTAGCAACTTTTCTATGAAAGATATTTAAGATTAATCATGGCTCTTTTATGAACTTGTCCAAGTCTGGGCAGTAGATGTTTGACCTGTAAATTTCCTTTGACTCTTTGATAAAAGAGCAACAAAGATGTTATCTCAGCTGGAACACACAGTGAAAACAGTGGGTAATAATCACTGCACCCAGAAAACAGGACTAATGTTACTGCTGCTGCTACTCCTCCTCCTCCTCCTCTTCCTCTTCCTTTATCTTCCTTCTTATTCATTTTTTTGAGGGGGGGCGGTTTATACCCAGCAGTGCTCAGGCTTACTCCTGGCTCTACTCGGGGATCATTGGCACAGCTCTGGGGACCATATGTGGTAGTGAGGATCGAACCCAGGTCAGCTGCGTGCAAGGCAAGCACCCTACCCACTGTACTATAACTCCAGTCCCCTATAAAACATGAGCTCTTATAAAAAACAATAGGTTGTGTAGATTATGTGACTAAACCAAATCACAAGTTTCTAGGGAACTTTATATCCATTACAAAAATATTTATGGTGAATTCTTAGGTGTAGAAAGTTTATCTTTATCACTCTTGGGTTTAATAATATAGGCTAATAAATGCAGAGACATAGAAATATAAGCATTTTTTAAAAATATATTCATCTTCTCACTCCATTCAGAATGCTGTGTCAGCCAAAGTTCAACCAAGAAACAGATGACACATTCACATTACGATGATTTAAGAAGAGTTTAATAATTTTTAAGCCTTGGGGCAAAATGTAAGAGGTTCACAAGGGGTAGTGTATCACCCTTGAGTAGGTATCTCTGGAACTGTTACCAACTGTAGGTTTTGAGAAAGAAGGGTCAGGAGTGGCTATTAGACCCATGATTGCTTGATGGCAAGGCATATAATATTAAAAAGACCTATGATCCTTAGTGAAGGAACACAGAAATCCCAATGTGACCCACCGGGAAGAAGGCAGGATGCAGGGATATCATAATCTCCTTCTCTTCCTCATATTTAGTCTCTAGTTGGGACTTTCTGTGACCTAATTGGATCCAGAGGGTAAGGATTCAATTGGTACAAATTATGTAGAAGTTGTTCTGGGGCTCAGGGCAGGCTAGAGAAAGGGAGACAGTAGAGTTGAAAAGGTAAGGTGGGAATATTCATCACAAATACCTTCTTTTAACACTTAACACATGCTTACCCAGCAACTCATCTAGTCTAATCTGACCAACTCTTTGGTCCCACGTAGCTCCTAAGAAGCTCCTGACTAATGATATGACTCCTTGGTTTCATTCAAGACTGATTCAGCTTCCTGACTAGATCTCATCCTTTCTGTCTATTCCTGAGTTGTCCTGTTGGTGTTCTGTGAATCTCACCTAACTGTTGCTCAGGGCTACTTCTCTTGCTTTGAACTTCTTTCTCTTTGAACACAGACCAGATACCCTTTTAGCCACCTTCTTCTCTTATCTTAGTAAATAGATGTCCTTGTTCTTGGTGATTTTTCATCCTGTCTGGGCCAGGTACCATCAATCCTGCTTTATTTTCTCATTCAGAACCTGAATGTCTCTTGTTTTTCATTCCAGAGATGGGGAAGGGGGGAGTCAGTGCAGTGAGATGCATTCCCATTGGAATCATGATGATTCCACTCCATTGCCGGGGAAAGCTAATCAAATAAGAGGCATGTGGAGGAAAAGCTGAAACCAGCTGAAAGAATGAAAGACAGGGAACTCAGGTCCTGAACACTGCCATCTTGACTTCAATCATGAGAAGAGGGTTTTTTTTTTTTTTGCTTTTTTGTTTTGTTTTTTAAATAAAGACAAGGGTGATTACAAGGGTGAGATGCAGAGTAGTCTGTGCCAGAATAAACCATAAGTCCCCCTGATGGGTTGTTACCCTGGGTAAAGGATTCTGGCATTGGGGGAAGGGTATACTGAGGATAATAATCTTTATCTTTGGACTTTGGGGCAAGGACAGTTGTTCTTGTCTAATACTTCTTTCTAAAGAATACTACTGTTCAAAGAACCACTGTAGTCAGACCTTTTCTCTCTATGGGATATGTATTTACAGAATATTGACCCCAAGAAAAGGAACTTGTCCTGCTGGTGTGTGTGTGTGTGTGTGTGTGTGTGTGTGTGTGTGTGTGTGTGTGAAGTCTATCAAAGAATCTATATTAAAAAACCTCAACAAATACCAAAGTGTGTCACATTATCACTTCTTTCTTCCGGATGATCAGCTTTCACAGATGGTCATCTTCCTCTCACCACATGCTCCCAATTCTCATGACACCTGGGACCCTGGTGGCCTCTCAATGATTAACTTCAAGATTTCTCAGAACTGAACATGATACCTGGATTTATTGTTACCGGGGTACCTATACCATCACCTGGGCCTGGACTAGGATATGGCACTTCGCTTGCAAGGTAGAATGGATTTTCTCTCCTAAGAGCCTAGTAACCAGAATGATGAGTTTAGTAAGACTTAGCCAAAGTAATAACAGAGGCTCTTGCTGATTGTCTCTCACTTTTTTAATTGCTCATGAACAACTACTTTGAATATCCTTGTCTAGAATTTCAACTGCTGTTTGCATCAATCTCAAATTCTGGAGTTTATGGAAGCTGCTTTCCTCCCATTTAGAAGAAATCTAATTTTCACATTTCTACTTTTCTTTTGTCCTATTTGGTTTCAGCTATCTTAAAGACTTAAGTCCTTCCCAAAGCAGAGGTAAGTTGTGAAGATTCTAGAGGAGCGGCATTTATCCTCTCTTTTTGCCGTCCACTGGTCTCAGAGCTTTCTTCCTGAAACCAGGAATCTGTCTATTCAAACTATGAATGTAGGAATACTGGCTTTTAAAATATCACTAGAATACCTGTCATGCCTCATGTAATGTGGGGACTTCAAATTTATTCTATACTATTCTTTGGTATTTGTTCTTGGGTAAGTGTTAACCCCTACTTCTACTCACTACTTGGTGTTTGTATATAACACCCTCTACTTGTACCTGCTCGAGCAAATCAATGAATAATGGGAGGACAGTGCTACAGTGCTACTCGTACCCTGGTTTCTTTAAATATGCCTCAAATCATACCTGGTTCTCTAGATTTATCATTCTACATTCTACATCTACAATATCGTTATACATCTTTTCTTACTCTTGACTATGTGTGCCCTTAAGATCTCTGTTCATGGAACCCTAAGTGCCAATATTTATTATGCACCTATTCTGTGTCAGGCATCACCGCCTATTTCTTTCTACTTTACCTAGTCCTCACAGTAATCCATAAAGGTAGATGCTAGACTACCTAGATGTGACCCAGAAGGCCCGGGTTGTGTAGAGACTGTAGAGGCTCAAGGTCCTCAGGACTAAGCCTTGACCCAGCTTTAGGGAGAAGATCCCCAAGCCCTTGGATTATTTTGGAGTACCACTGTATGCCTACAGCCTTGGGGCTTTGGGTCAGGCACATAGTTTATACAAACAGTTCAATTTATGGTTAACATCTGTTTTTACTGTCCCAGGCTCAAGGCTATGTTGTACCATTTTTTTAACCCTCTGGTAGATTATGATAACAATAACTGAGGTCAGTTATGTGAGTGCTCATATCTATATGACAGATCCCCAATGT